AGGTTGGGCAATCCTACTTCTGTAGTGATACTGCCTCGGAAACCCAAGGAGGGGTCGCTATGAGTCGGGTTTGACTTGACGGCACATAACAACAATGGAAATCTACTGCCAAACTGTACTCTTGTCCATGATATATGATGGTGCCTGGCCAAATCCTAGCCAGCCATCAGACTGTGTCACTTTAAACGTTTCTGTAAATATGATAGATTTGCAAACACCTTTAGATGTTTTAATCTGCATTACTAAGATTACTAGAGATAGATTTTGTCCCCTAATATTTACTACTCATTTAATTTTATTTCTTGCTAATTGTCTTTCATGTCTTCTGTCCACTTTTCTACTAGGATCTTAACATCCTTCACCTTGCAAACCCTTCTCCTTTTTGATCCCTCAGCTGATGACAGAAGTAGAAACTCAACCAAGACAAAAGGCAGCATCAACGAATGGAGACATGCTCCCATCATCATATATTATATATGAAGCAGCATCTGAGAAAACCAACTGAATCAAGTCACTTCCTACTGCATAAATATTCACCATGCAAACGTTTACAGAAATACCACAATGGTAAAAACCTGACATTCAAAAATAGCCTTAAGGTTTATTTGTCATATGCAAGTTCTTACTTGATAAATCCACAGGAACACATTCTACTGTGATGTTTAGCTGCCCAGGAATAATCTGTAATTTGGTCTTCTCTGGCCTAGGTATAAAATAAGAATATTTTAGATTTAAAAATTATGAATACTTAAAATTTTAAGAACCTGGTTTCACCCGTTGATGACTTACATTCATCATTTTAAGAAACTTACAATCCATCTATTATATTCATCTACTGCCATAACTCCATTTACTCACTTCTTATATTCCGACAGCAACTTGAGAATATCTTCATTAGAAAGCTTGCTACTGTCTTGTTTATACAAAGGAGAAAATCTCCCTTCCAGATCCAAAGAGCCTTGAATATCTTTGAAAATGGGTCTAAAACAGGAACAGAAAGATTTTCTTTTTTTAATTCTAAAGTATTGATAAAATAAAATGGGAACGTAAAATGGTGAAACCACTTTGGAAAATGGTTTTGCAGTTTCTCATGACCTTAAGTATACACCTACCCCATGACTCAGCAATTCCACTCCTGGGTCTTTACCCAAGAGAAATGAAAGTATACATCTACACAAAGAGTTGTATATGAATGTTCATATCAGATTTATTTGTTATATGCCCTAACTGATAATGACATGGATGTCCATCAACAAATGATGGATAAACTGTGGCATACTCACAATGGGCTGCTACTCAAAACGAACTACTAAGATATACAATAGCATGGATGAATCTCAAAAGCATGTTCAGCAAAAGAAGCCAAACACAAAGGAAGTATAGACTGTATGATTCCACTCATGAAGTTTTAGAACAGAGAAAAGTCATCAAGAGTAATAACTCCATCTGTGGTTGCCTGGGGGCAGGGCTGGGAGAGCTAACCAGACAAGGGTATGAGGAAACTTTCTGGCATGATGAATGTGTCCCAAATAGTGGTTAGGGTGATGGTTATATGACTGTGTACATTTGTGAAATTCATCAAATTGAACATTTCAAATATGTGCATTTTATCAAATGTAAAGTACACCTCAAAGTTGATAAAATTAGATATTTAAGGAAATTGTATATGTAGAGTTTCCAATATGAATGTGAATTATTCCCTCTCCCTCCTTTCCCCCTCTTCCCAAGTCGGAACTGACTTGACAGCTGTGTGAGTTTGATTTGTTTTTTCTGATACATGCTGTGTGACCACAGGCAAGGATTATTTTATCTTGTATGCCTGGATTTACTCATCTCCAAGATGAGGATAACAGTCCACCCTTAGGAAAATACACATGAAGCACTTAAACCAGTGCCTGGTACAGAGTTAACACTTAACAACTGTTAATAACAACAGTAGCAGCAATTGACTTTTCAGGTTGGGGCATCAAAAAGTATGCTGATGTGTTTACAAGTGGTGGTTCACCTCTCACAATGCTTAAATATACCTACCTCCACTAGTTTTTGTCATTCACCTACCCTTGGCTATCTTTTCTACCAGTCTACAAAACAAGGACAATGTGTCTTTTCATCTATCAATGTACAATGCATTTTGAGACCTTCTGATAAATGAAATTATTATAAATAGTGGCAGACAGAAGAGTTAATTAACTTAGAATCTCCTACCCTTATGCTACTCCCTAGCACCCACTGAACATAATTGATGGAATTATTCAGAACATGTTGCCCTTTCCTGAGAAGTTCTAGTGAGTTGTACAGGCTGTCCCTACAAACAAGGAAGTGAACCTCTACTTTAAAGGGAGAGTAAGCAAGAAAAGTGTAAGTCATCACTATACAGACTTCCAAGATTTTGTTAAAATAATGTAACCCACCATAAGATATGAGATACATACATACATACATATAATCACTCACTTTCAAATACACCCCCCCGAAAGGTTTGCTGAATTTATTATCAGGATGTAAGAAAGTCTATTAATTAATTATACACTTTTACTTAACAACAGAATTCTTTTTTTCCCTAATTTTTAGTGTATTTTCCAGAATTATTTGATGACAGTTTTTCAAAGCATAAACTCGGCCAATTCTGAAATAGTGGGCATATTGTACATAATTCACTAGAATTTCTGGTTTTCTGGAGAAAAAACATTCCAAATAAGCTCTGCTTTAAAACATAATCAAATTAAGTGGTGTCAGTCAAATCGGGAACTAAAGCCAAAGAAAATGTCTCCAGAGCAAGACATATGAAGAAATGGCAGAGTCTTTGGTACCCAGAAAATTCTGAAAGAAAGAAGTCTTACATCTCAAGCGTCCCAAGAAACAAGTGGTCTGCCAGAGACACACTGTTGAATGCTGGTCAGGGCCATAGCCCTCAACTTCCCATGACAGCATGAATAGAAGAGTCAGGATTCTATTTGTACAAACCTGGCAGCCCAAGCAAAGGGCATTCTGTATTGTCCAAGGCGGCTACACACTTGCTTAGCTGTCCTGTGCACCTTCTGGGCCGTCTAAGGTCAGAAATGAGAAGAAGGACTCATATTTGTTCAAACTGCCATGAACCCACACAGGAAAATAATTCCCAAACTTACTGAAACAAACATCAAAATTCTAGGGAAGAAAAATTAAGGAGCCACAAATAAAACACAACATGCAGTAACTACCAACTTTACAAGACCTAAGTATTTCTTAAAGGCTTTATGTTTTCTCATTTACAGAGTCTTCATCAATGTATCAGAAAACAGGCAACATGGATGAACGGAATGTTCTGTACCAACGATCTTTACCAGGAAAGTTTTAAGCAGTTTTCACATGTATTTGCTTTCACATCCCAGGCAAATGCTCATCATTCTTGTTCTGGACCCAGTTGGTCTTTTTATTTCCAAGATAAGGAACAAGTGACCAAGAGTCAATGCAATTAGTCTCATGTGGGCAGGAACCTCTGTTTGGACAGGCACTAAGAGATGACAAAGGAGATAAACTGCCTATGGAGCCTGAACACGCTGTGAAATGCTGGCTGGATGCGTCTCCCCAGGGATGCCTAATGCTGGAGGCTTTTATGTGCATTGTGAAGACATTTTATTCCCTCACAAATTAGTCACAAGTCTCCTCAGCATCTTCCACCTAATAAACACTATCTGGATACATGACTAAATGTCACGCACAACAGATCAACTCTCATAAATACACAGTAGCTGGAGCACTGCTAATGATCTGTACGCCATAAATGCTTTCCTTCTGTGGACCTCAGTTTTCTCATTTATAAAATGAGGGGGTGGGGGCACATCAATGGCTTCCAAACGTTTGGAATTCATGGTCCAGAAATTTGGGTGATTGATAAAGGTTGCTAACTTTTAATTTTGCCACTGAAGGACATAAAACAAGACAATTGAAAATAACAACAACAACCCTACTGTTTAATACCCCAGCATTTCGGGACAGTGAGAGAGGTTTAACATTTAAAAGTAGGAAGGACAAAAATCTCAGACTAAAGGACAGCCCTTCTAATTGAGTACATTTAGTTTGACGAAACATCCACTAGCTTGTCTTTATTATCTTTATTCCACTACGGACAAGAGTAAATCTGGGTACAAACTGGCATCTGGGAATCACAGGACTAGATCTTTTTCACCCTGCAGCTTTGACATTCTTGCATGGTATGTGGGCTGGGAGTGAGAAGAGGAGCTATTGGCAAGGATTTGGTGTCAATTAACAGATGTTGTCTAAAAGCCTTTAGCTTATTTTGATAAGCAGAAATCAGACTGTCACATAAACAGAACATAAATGAAAAGAAACAAAAACGACATGTTCAAGCTGTAGCATGCATCCTGGTGTAGCATACCGTCTTTTCAAAATATAGCATGCTCACAGAGCACATTTTTCTTCTTCCTAAGGGGTCACTGGCAATGTGATTTAAAATATCTATAAAAGGAAAATTCTCTATTACGAGCTGAAATGCTCACAAATGGTCTTTATAAATACCTTCACTGGGTCTGAATTTTTGATGTATGGTTCCGCACAGTGTGTAATGTTGCCCTGTAGCACTTTTTCAATTCGTGCTACCAGAAAAATTTCAGGATGTGGATTTGTCACTGAGAAGATGCCCTGTAAAAAAAAAATTGCTTCCGTTAGACTTTTAAAAAATTTTTACTTAACCATATACATACAATTGTTTGGCTAATAATCCCTAGTAGAGTGTTTACTATAAACCAAAAAACCAAACTTGTTGCCAACAAGTTGATTCTGACTCATGTTGACCCCGTGTATTACAGAACAGGGTCCATAGGTTTTTCTAGAGTGTTCAGTATATAGAATGTTGACATTCAACATAGGATCATGCCCTATTGTTAGTTGCCATCAAGACAGCTGACTCATGGTGACCTTATATGTAACACAATGAAACGCTGCCCAGTTCTGTGCCATCCTTACAAGTGTTGCTATGCTTGAGGTCACTGTTGAAACCACTGTGTCAATCCATCTCATTGAAGGCCGGCCTCTTTTTCTCTGACCCTCTACCCTAGCACCTAGAATTAGATAACATTTCTTTTCATACAGTTTGCAAAGCTCCCAGTTTCCTTTCAAGACAGATTTTACTTTTAGTCAACATTTCACACCTATTAGCCCTTAAGTGCAGGTGTTACCTTTGCTGTTTAACCTCTTCCATTTGGCTTGTTTTTCAAGGTGTATTTGTTGACCTAACGAATACAATATGCACGGTCTGGCTTAATTGGCCTGTACTAAAATAGTGTGCATCTCTCAAGTGGAACTGGATATGCACATGCATATGCATGTAACTCCAAAGTAATTCACTCACATTTAATTAATGCTAATTGCAGCTAAGAAGGAAGAAAATACTTTACTGCTCTGTGTAACATAAAAATGAAATCATCCTGTTAGAAAATGTTCCTCTGTTGATGTGAAAGAGCTCTGTGGCTTTCAATGGAAAGGTAGGGAATAGAGGATCCAAAACTCTTTTTGTCCCCATACACTTTACTTAAGAGTACCCAAGGAGACACAACCAACACTGTATCAGTTTTCGTCGAATGTATGTGGAACCATCATGTTATTCCCTACCCAGTTCCTTCCAAACAGAATATCCTCTAAATGGCCTATCAGTTGGCTATGTCTGCTATTTAAAGGAGCACCACACAAACTGATCTGAGCGGAAAAAATCCATCACTGGGATGCTATCAAGTTTTATTTTTCAACTTGGCATATTACGAACTGTGTTAATATAAAGCTTTCCGGTTTTCAGGATTTCAGACACATTATCTCATTTAATTCCCGATAGAACATTTTAAAGTAAAGAAGGCAGAAGAGAAAACTGAGTGTTAGGGGCTAAGTAATTCCCCACAAAGTCAACCGGCTTGTAAGGAGCCCAGACAGTGGCCGATTCAGCCTGAAATCCCCAAGCAGCAAGCACGGAACAAAGTGATTAAAAACTGCGCAGGAGTCAAAATGCCTGGGTTCAAACTGATTCTACTGTTTATGGGTTTAGGCGAGTCATGACCTCCTTAAATCTCAAGTTTCTCATGTATCAGATGAAGATGATGATAATGATAGCAATTTTGTACACTTTTATGGACTTGAATAAAATAATGCCCATTAGCTACCTAGTTGCTAGGGTGGCCCAAGTGTCTCAAAGTCACAGAACTTACTTCTGGAACTGCTGGGAACAGGCTGCTAGAGCTTTAAGATGCAGCTGGCATAATGGAGCTGAGCAATGCACCCTGAATGCAATTTTCTGCTTACTAATTGGCACGTAACTGTACTGGATGCTTTTCACGCATTCTCTCTCATTTAGTCTTCATCAAAACCCTTGAATGTAGCCACTACTATATACACATTTTATAGATTATGAAACTGAGGCTCAAGTTTTGTAGCTTACTTAGGGTTATACAGAGTAAGAGGTTAAGAAGGGTAGAAGCCAGGGCTTCTAGATACAGAACTGTTGTAGTTCAGTTTGTGTGTCAACTTGGCTGGGCAGCTGGATGTAGTATTCCCTATGATGAGGCTGGTAATCAACTCCACGGTGGGATCTATTGGGAGCAGCTGAGTAGCTGCCTTAGGGATGTGGTCTGCTTCACGTATATAAAGAGAACCCTAGGGGATAATCTCTAGCTTATGGCATGCTTGAACTCTGCACGGAGCCGTGTCATTGTTCAGTAGCCTGCCATGCTCCGCTAACCTTGAGTATTATAATTTTACAGATGTTGATGATACATAAAAGCAGGTCATTTTCACTTGTTTGTCACTGATCTAAGCTGTACTTAGGATACACGGTGTGCCTGACACAATGCCGAGTGCTCTCTGGGGATAACACATCCTGTTTGAAGCTTACAATAGCCCTTGAATGTAGGTTCCATCATAATCTCCATTTTACAGATGAGGATGCTGAGGCACAGAAACATTCATTTTTAACTCACCAGGGATTCCAATGTGGGAAGATACTTCCTGGGAGCTGTTTTGACTTTTTTCTCCATCAGCTTCCTCCCCTCCCCCTGAACTGAGTTCAAAAGAATTACAGCCAGAGCCCAGGAACACTGTGTGGGCAGGAAACATGGTCCTTTGGGCCAGGCTTCTGGCCTATCGCTCCATTACCACCAAGGATACATGTCTGTGCCCCTGCAGGGTGGTTTTTACCCACTTTCCTGCCCCCTCCCTCCAGAGAAGGGGTCATGTTGGCCCCACCCAGCACCAACACTTACACTGCCTCCAGGGTATGTGGTGGTGGGGGATTCGACACTCCTTCCCCAGCCCAAAAACTGCTGCCTCCTGCTTGGGTGTCCACAGAGCTACAGGAAGGCAGACCCTCCAGAGTAAAGCAGCTCCCCCAAACCCCAGGTCAGCCAGGGTTCAATGTCAAGGTCAGAGAGTACTAAGTAAGCTCTGTCAGGGCATCTGGGAACAAACTGCCAGGCAGCTGAGAGTAAAGCAAGTAGTCACAGTAGCTGTTTAATGTCAGGGAGGTCAAGTCATTCTACAATGGACCCAACTCTCTCTTTTCCTGTGGCCATCCCTGCTGTGGCTCTTCAGAAAGAAGATACTGGAGAGCATGACCCCAGGGAGTGAGCAGCCTAGAGCAGCCTCAAAATCGAATCCATCCTGTTGCCTCTTCCTGTAGATGACACAGCCATTTGAGTAGTGTAGGGTCTAGAAGGGGCTGCCAGGCAGCCCTTTCTAGGAACACTGGGGAACTGGGTTGTTTCCTTCTCTCTAGGGTGATACAAGAGGAGATCTGGTGGTGTAGTGGTTAAGGCATTTGGCTCCTAACCAAAATGTCAGCGGTCTGAACCCACCGGCCGCTCCATGGAAGAAAGATAAAGCAGTCTGCTTCTGTAAAAAGATTTACAGCCTTGGAAACCCAATGGGGGTCACTGTGAGTGGGAATCAACTCTATGACAGTGCATTGAGTTTAGGGTGACATAGAAAGCAGTAGAGCACAGGGGTTAAATCCTGGGCTTTGGAGCCTTCTAGACCTAGCATCACCTTGGACAAGTCATTTGACTGCTCTATGTCTCAGTTTGCTCATCTGTAAAATGAAGATAGAAACACTACTTATCTACTTTACTGGGTTGTTATAGGGATTGACTTCATACAGTTGGAGTACCTAGAGAAATACAATGGCAATAATAAACACTCACCAAATCATTCTGATTGCTATAGTAAGAAATCAATAAACATTGTCAAATTAATGAGCTAAGATTAGTGTTCAGATCTAACTTTTAGACTCACTCCTACCTGGCATTGCTTCCTGGTCCTACATAGGAAAAAGTTGAGAAACAGACTTCTTGAAAATAAAATCCTCAACTATTTGAAGAAAATAGCCACTTCCTGATACCTTTACATGATCTGGAAAAAGGTGCAGAATAAATCCACCTTAAGACACTGCCCATCACTCTCACCTTTCCAGCATTCATCCATTCCTTTGGGGCCTCATTCAAGTCCAATATCCTTTGTGTGTTCACTCCTGATCACTGACCCCCTCCTCACATTCCAAACTCATCTAGTATCACTGTGTGATATAATTCAATACCTAATCACGTTCTGTACAGTAACATCGGTTATTTCAAACAGAACTGGGTTCAAATTCTACCTTCACCACTACTAGAGCTTTGTAATGGTGAGTAGTTTACTTAACCTCCCTGAGTGTCAGTTTCCTTATCATAATTATATTATTTCACAAGACTATCATGATTATCGGGAGCTCTAGTGGTGTTGTGGTTAAAGCATTAGGCTGTTAACCAAAAGGTCAGTAGTTTGAACCCACCAGTCACTCCTGGGAGAAAGATGAAGCAGCCTGTTTCTGTACAGATTTACAGCCTTGCAAACCCTATGGGGGCAGTTCTACTCTGTCTTAAAGTTGGAATTGACTCCATGGCAGCAGGCTTGGTTTCATCATGAGACAACAACTAGGCACACAGGGGATATTTTAAAAAAAGTGTTGATTTTCTTACTGACCTTGATTATAAATTAGATGAAACCTGAAACCACAATTTAAACTCCCTGCATCAAACATATATCTGAGTACAATGAAGTAATACAGTAAATACATCATTGGTTTAAAATTACTTATTTAATATTTCAGGGAAAATTTTTTAATACATAATCCAATAGCAAGCTCCCAAACAATTTTGTGCTTGCTTGACCTCTTTTAGAAACACGTGACATCATAGAAGTGAACCCTATAATCTGGGTAATGAAATACAGGGCTATAGAAAACAAGGCACAACTCGGCTGGGGGGGGGGAAGCTACCACCCAAAAGGGTCAATAGTCCCAAAAGGGTAGTGATAACACATGTAAATCTTCCCCTACCGTTTGGGAATCTGCATCAATGAACATGTTTGACCCCAAAACATGGGGACAATCCAACAAACAAAGTAAGATGTATGCATATGGATGTTCAATGCAGTGTTATTTATGACACCAAAAAAACAGATACCCTAATTAGCTTTATCAGTGGAATACCATGTTAACCGGTAGTAATCATGTGGCTCATCTACAGATATTGATACAGGATATTAATGGCTATTTAACATGATGTTGTTAAATGAATGAAGTAGCTATAAAATAGATATAAAATAGAATGAACATAATTTTTATAAGAAACCCACTAAAAACTCTAAATCATAGTGACCCCAAAGGGTTTCCAAGGCTGTAAATCTTTATGGAAGTAGCTTGCCTCATCTTCCTCCCACAGAGCAGCTTGTGGGTTTGAACTACCAACCTTCTGGTTAACAGCCAAATGCCTTACCCACAGTGCCATAAGACACATATAATATGTATGTGTTTATATAAACAACACAGATATCTAAAACTATGTTCACTTAAATGTTAATAGTTATTATCTATGGGTGATACTTTTCACTTTTTTTTTGGTATTGCTTAAATTTTCTACAAAAGTATGCATTTATCCTCATAATTAAGGAGCTCTGGTGGTGCAGTGCCTAAGGCATTTGACTACTAAGCAGAAGACTGGCAGTTCAAACCCACCAGCTGCTCTGCAGAAGGAAAATGAGGCAATCTACTTCTGTAAAGAGCTACCACCTTGGAAACCCAGTGGGGTCTCTATGAGTTGGAATTGACTCGATGGCTGTGGGTTTGGTTTGTTTTTCATCTTTATAATTTTAAAAAAAGTAACAACATTTTTACTTTGGGAAAAATAAGTCTCCTTACAATGTGAGCTGCTTTGCTCTTCTACTTCTTCCCACTTTAGTTTCATGACATGCTCCTGTTTCCTTTCAGCTACAGAAGTCTAGGGGGAAGATCATCAATTCTGCTTCCCCTAAGTTCTTATGGCCTCCAAACCAACTGCCATCAAGTCGATTCTGACTCATAGCAATCCTATAGGGCAGAGTGGAACTGCCCCACAGGGTTTCTAAGGTTGTAAATGTTTATTGAAGCAGACTGCCTCATCTTTCTCCTGTAGGGTAGCTGGTAGGTTCAAACCACCAACCTTTTGTTTAGCAGCTGAATGCCTTAAGCACTGTGCCACTAGAGTACCGTTATGGCCCCAAATCTGGTTAAAATGCCAGGGAACTATTAAGGGTCTTTTTAAAGAGAGTTCTTTGAACTAGATAGGACAGAAGAGGTAGCTCTAACACAACCAGTTCCCTCTCACTGCTTTTCAACTAGAACCCCCTTGACAATGGGGATAAAGAATCTTTATGCTTCCTTAAAACTATGTATTTCATAATGGACGTATGGAATTAGGATGTGAAAGTTATTGTACGGCTGTTTTTCCTTCAAACCATTAGGGAACCCAGTGCCTTGCTCAGAAGTATGCACATGGGTGTGTGTTTGTGTATCAGCATTCCATCTTACGTATATTTCCTTTGGATCTCATATCATGGTCCCATTGAAAATGTTACTTCACCAAGGTATTACTATCACGTTCAGTGGTTTCCATTTTTTTCCTCTAACTTCCATCACCAGGAAAAAAAATACCTACAGACAGACTTCAAAAGAGCTGGAATGCCCAAGAAAACATTGGCCTGGAACCACGAAAGCTCCTAAGGGTGTTTCTCCTTCTTATTCTGAATGTGCCACAAAGGCTCACGATCATTCTTTACCTGTTTTATGTAGCGTAGCTGAGATTCAGCAATTCCATGAATGAAAGACTCAGGTGAAGAACCTTTTCGGTTTTCATCACTGGCCAGTTGGCCTGAAGTGCCCCACAGCATTTCACGGACAGATGGGGGATTTAAGTCTATGTGGAAGTCAGCTGAAATCTTACAATTGTTTTTTACATCAAATAAGGCAAGATTGATAAAAAAAGGTTCAACCTGAAAATGAAAACAAGTTAAATTTTGAAACTAATACTTTGTGGGTACAGGGGAGGCTCAAGTAGGAGGGAAACTAATTGTAATAAAAATTTTTTTTCTTTAAATCATTCAAGCTGCTTTGAGTACAGTTCTTTTCTGAACTGAGTAAATAATAGTCTTTAGCTAAAATGTCATTGTGGTTCATCTGCATGTAAGAAAAGGACAGATTCAAACTTCAGCAAATTTTAACTTTGGTCACGTGTAAATAATTTCACACATTATCAATTGAAGAGAAAACACTGTAGAAGTCAGAAGCTATGTTTAAAGAACATCAACTGCTCAATGAACAAAATTTAATTCTTTATATGTATATTGAATTTACCTAAAAAGATGATGCCAATATTGCAAAGCAAATGTGAATCTTTACTTTTGATACATTACAACTTCTAAAACAATACATTTCATACAAGCTAGCATCAATCAACATCAAATTACTTGACAAAAGCTTTGCCCCATCAGCAGTTTTGGAAGGCATGATTCCTCCCTACAGATGGCACTGGAAAGCTGGTCACAAAGAGAAATTTCATGCCAGATGGCATAAAGATTAATTAACCCTTTGCACACCAAAAGTCTGCTACTGCATTGTAGCTAATGTGTAAGAGACTCAATCATCATTGTTGGTATTTTTAAAAGATAAAACTAGGACCAAAAATAAAGGTAAGCATAAAATAAATCTGATGCTTTTAAGATGTATAGTTTCAAGTATTTCTAAGCAACTCAAATAATTTGTAACAAGTGAAAATTAGAATTTTCTCTGTGTAAAAAATGGGATCCCACTCGATGAGAATAGTGAGTGAGCCTAGCATGGTTCTGGTGTTCCTTATTCACGGATATGAATCAGTTTCCCAGAATTATTATCCTCTGGTAGAATTCATAAATTTGAGGATTTTCTAGGTTCTAAGCACATGGCCCTCTTCAATGTCAAGGGCCTACTCTATGTACTCTGCTATTCTGATTAGGGAAGACTTTAATAAATACTCTCAAGATAAAAATATATTCATATTTTGGCAAAAGAAAAAGCTGGATGAAATTCTGCCATGCCAAATTCATCATTTTTCATCCAGTAAATTAGTTCTCAGCTTCCCCCCAACAACAACAAAAAAATAATAAAGATATTTCTTTATGCACTGGTTCAATGAGGGCAAAAGAAAAAGGTCATACATACATTTGTGGGTGGTCCTTTTGTGTTGTCTCCAACTTGACCCAAGATATTAAACATTAAATCATGGCAATTTACCAGGAAACGTTTGTTACACTTTTCTTCAAATGGTTTTATATCAGGTTCAATTCCCGAAAAGTCCAACCTCTACAAAACAGATAATGAATAATTATACCCCCCAAAAAAAGAGGAATTAATGAAAATCTATAAGCAAAACTGGCAGCTCAGGATATTCTTCATTTAAACTTTTTCATTTGGTTATTCAACAAGCCTTTGTGGAACTTTTGCAATAAAGTTCAAACTCTAATGGAGAAATCTTGGAGGGGGATGATGAGAGTCTGATATAAGTCAATGGAAAAAAATCACAAGTCAGTATCATTTCCTACCAAAGCCCTAAATGTCATGACTCCCTAACTCCACCACCCCTCTGATGTCATCTTCTTGCCTTTTTCCCTCTATTCTAGCCAGAAGCCCTGGTGGCACAATGGTTAAGCTAATTAAGAGGTTGGTGGTTCTAACATACTGCGGCTTCACAAAACAAATATGTGACAGTCTGCTCCCATAAAGGGTACAGCTTTGTAAACTCTATGGGCCAGTTCTACCCAATCCTATAGGGTTGCTGTGAGTCGGAACTGACTCAACAGCACCCAACTGTTCCAGCCATGCTGGCCTCCCTCCTTGTTATTTTTCCAGCACACCAGTGTGCTCTCATCTCAGGGCCTTTGCACTTGCTGTTCTCTCTCTGGAGCCCTCTTCCCCCAGATAGCTGCTGGCTTGCTCCCTCACTTCATTCATGGGTCTGATCAATTGTCATTTCCACAAAGAGATCTTCTCTAACTCCCTATATAAAACCACATACTTCCTGACAGTCTATGCTCCCTTCCCCTGATATATTTTTCTAACATTGCTTTTTTTTTCTGTTTACTGTATAAACAATGTGTACATCCATGAGAACCCACACCTGTGGCTTCCAGCCAAACGAAAGACAGGCATATGAGTTGAACATTTACCTGAGGTAGATACACTCCTCGGAGAGAACAATCATGGGAGAAAGAAGGGCTGCTTATGCACAGGGAAACAGTTCAGGGGGCAGGAGTGCCTGGAGTGATAGACACTGGGAAGAGGTAATGATGGGGAGGAAGGGGAAGGGGAGCTGTTGCATTGTGGGAAACTGCAGTTAATGTCATGAGAAAAAGTGTATGTGAACTGTTGTATGGAAAGTGAATTTGTTCTGTAAATTTTCACCCAAATCACAATAATAATAAAAAAAAAATGTATACACCCATGATGGCAGAGAGTTTGTTTCCTTTATGAGCTATGCAGGAGGCAAAACTGACAGGAATGGGACTGGGAAGCAGCAAGAATAACACAATGGTCTCTAACTTGGGAGACTGGGTAGATAGTGGTGTTATGAACTTGTTGTTTGTAATTGTCAGGTGTCCTCAAGTTTGCTCTGACTCACAGCGACCCTGTGTACAACAGAACAAAACACTGCCTGGTCCTGTACCACTCACAATCCTTGCTATACCTGAGCCCATCACTGCAGCCACTGTGTCAATCCATCTTGTTGAGGGCCTTCCCTTCTTTTTCACTGACCCACTATTTTACCAAGCATGATATCCTTTCTCCAGGGAATGGCCCCTTCTGACCATGACCAAAGTAGGTGAGATGAAGTTTTATATATTTGTTTATTATATCCATAATAACATATTATACATTAAGTTATAAACTTGTGAAAATAAAAATTAACAGCAGATTTGGGGAGAAGGTGAGTAGAGATGATTAGCTTAGACTGGAATGTGTTGAATTTAAGGTACTGTAGGTAGGTGGCTGACAAAATGGGAGAAGTCTAGATCTGGATTTGGGGGTCAGTGGAATCTAAGGTGAGAAGGTGAGAAGGCAGACAAGGCTGGAATCCTGGGGACCATCTACATTTAAATGGTGAACAGAGGGAGAGGCATCTGCCTAGTTAAGTGATAAACACTGACTATAACAGAGCTGGGGGATGCACTCTGGTTGCCATAAAAGAGGTATTTTTCAAATGATTGGTATTTCAAAATAAAAAGTTAAAAATATCTTGGGAGCCAAGGAATTCCTTTCAGCAGAGGAGGAATCTGTCCTTCCTCCAAGAAACTCCTAGAAACCTCCTTAGCTCACAAGGTTCAGGCAACCTAAGTTCATCTGAATGTCTGAAGAGGCTTTTATTCTGTTCACAAATGGGAAGGAAAGTGTAAATTGTGAGACCATTTACTCTACTTTCATTAAGGCCAGAGACATGGTAGGCGGGAAATGATTGGGTGAATCAGAGCAGAATATACTGCCAAAATGGAAAACTCCAGCCAAGATACACAAGACTTTTTCTCAATTACCTAAGTAACTCAAGCCAAAACAGGTATTATGCCTGAAGAATTTTGGATAATTACAGCTGTTCTGACCTACCCTAGATCACTAGCACAATCCTCCTTAAATAGGCCTAAAGTGTAACATTTGTACCTGAAAGCATGATCCACCCCCCCAGTCTATTTATCTACAAAAGACATACACTTGTGTGGGACTAGACAGCTCCCTCTTGAACACTTATCTATCTATGGAGCCAGCAGAGGCAAGTCATTGCCATGGGAATCAATTCTTATTTCCGCCCATTTATCTGCCCTCTTCTCTGTCTTACTCAGACAGTGGAATGTGAAGAGAAACTGTATCAAACCACCCCAGACCCCAAATCCTTTCCCTTTTGGGGCCTGTGAGTGTAAATGTTGAGACATATGGCCCTTCCCCAGTAGTTAAAGTTTGAGTCATCCCTTCCATAAGCCAGAATTTCTTAATCTCTAAGGCCACTGGTAGAAAACATGTCCCTAAACACTGAACTATGGCCTAAAGGAAGGCTGGAATTATGGGATGGCACTTTACTTAGAAAGGGTGCTCAACACATGACAATATGGGTTTCTCTGTGGAAAGACTGCCTTTCATAATCAACATTACATTAAATTTTTTTGTTCTTAACACTTCATCACAATTTTGAGTTTTCCTCTCACTGTAGCTCACTGATAAACAACTGGACATCAGTGCAGTTCCATGACCACAAAAATTCTACTACACCACAAATTTTTAGAGATACTGGATTTAGTTTCAACCACAGTCAATTGACTCCTTTGTATGCAATGAAAGAGCCTGACGTGTCCAATTAGAGCCCAATCATCTGGGGGAAATCAAAGGCACAGAGGTGCTTGGAACAAGTATGTTTCTAAATGAGTATCTTAGAATGAACATTCTCAAGGGCTGCTATACTCTGATTTTTAAAACATAATTTACACTAAAACAATACTGCTGTAGGAATAAAAAAAGAAACTTTAAAAAATAAATTTCTCCAAATAGTTTTATTTTCTCATGATATGTTTTTATAAAGGAAAAACACTCTCATTACTTACTGATTATATACTTTTCCATTTGAAACAAAGTAAAATTTAAATTAAACTGTATGAAGCTTGAGGCTGGATGAACACTTAAAACTACTGCCCAGAGATAATCTTTTTTTTTAAATTTTTTAATTGTCATTTGGGTGAAAATTTACAGAGCAAATTCACCTTCCATACAGCAGTTCACATATACTTTGTCTCATGACATTGACCACAATTTACCACAATGCAACAGCTCCCCTTCCACTTCCTCCCCACAGTTACCTCTTCCCTGTGTCCATCCCTCCATACACTCCTGCCCCCTGAGGTGTCTCCCTGTGCATAAACAGCCCTTCTTTCTCCCATGGTTGTTCCATCCAAGGAGTATATCTACCTCAGGTAAATGTTCAACTCATATGCCTGTCCTTTGTTTGGCTGGAAGCCACAGGTGTGAGCTCAACTCCAGACCTGAAGGGCAACTAGGGCCCATAGTCTCAGTGGTTCCACCAGGCTCTATCAGACCAGCACTGAGATAATCTTTAAACCAAAAATATCCTCCAGAGTCTTC